ACGTCCTGTTGATAAATTAAGTATCATAACAATTCATACGTACGTGAACCAATTACACTGTCACAGTGGCTAATTATTTGCCTCTATACTCATCTGTGCAGTGTTCTTGGACGTAACCATGATTGAGTATCATCTATAATGTCCGACACATTCTTCTACTAGACGAACAGTAAACGACTGAATTTTATAATAGATCTATACCAAAATACCATTGTATTACAAACAAGGCGTTATTTCTGTTCGTAAAACGCGGGGAGGAGAACCATCCTTTTGCCACGCCTGGATCCATCAAATGGCGACCTATAGACGAGTCGTCACAGACAAATCTTTAGTAGTCATGCCATTCCATAATTAAAACTATGCAATTGCCGACCATAGTATAATATAGCCGAATTATTATCTAGTGACGAGAGTTTGAGCAATTTGGCCCATATACACCACAAAACCATGAATTAACCACGTCTTCTTAAACCTATATTATTTCGATGAGTTTGTCAGAAAATATCATAGGAGTGATGTTTTCCCTACTAGACGTGTTATCGTGACTGAATACTCAGACTTACGGTCCCGCATATTTACGAAAAAAAAGTCGCAAGATGTTATGACACAATGGGTTGTTATCTGGAGTTCTTGGGTTCGATTCCCACCCGAATTACTTGCGATTTTGTTCGCAAGTATTTGCGAATGTACTGAGCATCCAGTACGATAACACGTTAGGTACTGAAAAACATCACTATTATGAAACCTATTGTAATTGTATTTACAGCTTTCGTTGGTCAGATCCACACGAAAGCCTTAGTATCCGGATCGGGAGCTAACCGTTAGCGCTAACCGTTGTTAGCACCCGTGTGTGAACGCCCGATCGGTTAGCGCTAACCGTTACCAGGATCCGGATTAGCGAGCGCTATCAGTTAGCAAGCTGAGCACGTTTCTGTCCTTTAAGCCTCTTTTCCACTAGGCGAATTTATTCGCGCGAATCAAAAGCGTCGGTTTGTGCGCATTCGCATTCAATTCCTGTCGGAGTTTTTGCGAAGCAAAAAAATGCGTAACCAATCAGAGCTCAGGAAGCGAACTGACGCTTTGATTTGCGCGAATAAATTTGGGATCGCGCGAATAAATTTGGGATCTTCTCGTATGGACGCACGGCAGCTAACGGTTAGCAGGATCCGGATCCTGCTAACCGTTAGCTGCTGTGTGAGAACATAGCCCTATTGGCCAGTGATCCGATATCCATCTTCTTGGTATCCGGATCGGGATATTCTCGTATGAACGCACGGCAGCTAACGGCAGCTGCCGTGTGTGGACATAGCCTGTGGTTAGATTTTAAACAAGTTACTGTTGATGAAAACAATTCCAATTCTCGTTATTATTTATTCAATAAACGCTTTAATTTTTGCCCAGAACAATTAATAGGATCACATACTTTTAAATATTCTCCAAAAATTGCTTATTTTCCAATATCAGTCTTTGTTATACCGTACCGGTACCCTATGCCCCAAAGTACAGTATACCGTACAACCTTTTGCCAAGCTTTTTCAAAAATTATTCTGCTGCTAATAAAAACATCAATTGAAATGTTTCGATATTTATTACGATATATATTAATTTACACCTTTTAAATTTATATATAATATTCAACTATATCATTTATTTATTACATACACAGTACGTACTTTAGCAGTCCGATTTCCCCCTTGCTATAGGCAAATTTGATTACCTTCCATTTTACAGTATTAAAGCTATCCTTGCAATTGTTTACGGTATGTATTGTCTGTATTCATTGAGAATACAGGCATTGTACTTGGAACAATAATTCCATGTTAATAATTAGCCTATCGTTTTAATATTTGAAGAGTTATGAAATAAGCCTGCCTACGTAAAATAAAATTAATGCGCATGCGCTACAGAGAGTACCTGGTAATTTATAAAGCGTTCTGCGTTGCTATAGAATTGGATCCATATTATAATCATTAAGTATTTTTTATACAATACTGATTTCAACAGAATGATTTCTACAGAAACAATTGACTCTAAATTTATCAGCTTTGAACACGACGTGCCCGAGGATCTGCCTACAGGGACCTCAAGTTTCTCATTCAACTGATTACCAAGGATTTATGACCGGATATGTAGTACACAGTTAATGCGTCTATGTAGCACCTCTCTGTATAAAGATGTATTGTCTCATAAAAAAATCATTTTTTAAATTAATTTGCTTATTTTAAATCAACATAAAAATTAGTGTATTTTGTGTATGTTAATGCAAAAATGAGCAAGGTAATTTCAAAATTATTGGTCCGCTGACCCAGAGCCTCATTGCTGTTTCTGTTCTTGTTCTTGTTACCAAAACTTTAAAAACTTTAAAAGTGTCCAGAGTCGCCAGTTTTGAACGGACGTGCATGAAACTTTGTACACATAAACTAAAAGTGATTTCCAACAAATATTCATCACCCTTTTTTGAAGTTTGTCCCCAGGGTTCCCCCTAAACCTACAAAACAAAACAGGGGTTTCAAACTTTAAAAGCGTCCAGCGTCGCCAGTTCTGAACGGATGTGCAGGAAATGTTGTACACATAAACTAGAGTTGATTTCCAACAAATGTTCATCGCCCTTTTTTAAGTTGGACCCCAGGATTCCCCCTACACCTACAAAACAAAACAAGGGTTGGTTTCAAACTTTAAAAGCGTCCAACGTCGCCAGTTTTGGCCGGACGTGCATGAAATGTTGTAGACATAAACTAAAGGTGATTTCCAACAAACGTTCATCGCTCTTTTAAAAAAATTTGACCCCAAGGTTCCCCCTACACCTACAAAATGAAACAGGGGTTTCAAACTTTAAAAGAGTCCAGCGTCGCCAGTTTTGAACGGACGTGCAGGAAATTTTGCACACATAAACTAGAGGTGATTTCCAACAAACGTTCATCGCCCTTTTTTAGGTTAGACTCCAGGGTTCCCCCTACACCTACAAAACAAAACAGGGGTTTCAGCAGGGACTATACATTACTGCCTTTTACCACTACCGTAATAGTCACTGATCCCTACTAAAATAGCTGGATTGCTCATCGGCCAATCCTGGTACAGAAAAAAGTGAGGCCTCCGACGCCATGTTGGAGGGCCTAAGTGACGTACCAGTTTAGAAAAGTTTCTTTTGGCATTTGTTTAAATTACAGTTGAAAATAACGATTCTTGCAAAACATTTCAATAATAAATTTAAATTTAACGTAGTAATTTTCTTTTTTCAAACCATCTAACCACTATACGCGACTGTTTAAGCAGTTTTAAAAAGCGCGAGCGAAGTCGCGTTGTTATAGTGATGTCGATCCACTGATTTTTACTATAATATTATAGTAGAGATCAGTGTGTCGATACCTAACAACGCAAATAATTTTGCTTGCGCTTTCCTAAACTGCATAAAAAGACACAGCAAGTAGATAGATAGATGATTTGAAAAAAAAATCATTACGTTAAATTCAAATTTATTATTTAAAAGTTTTGCAAGAATCGTTATTTAATTCGTCGTGACGCAGTGAGTACTCGGCCTTTAAGATATAGCCTACTGAGTTGCTTAACATGTATATGCCTTTATTCAATAAGTGATTAGCTTAAAACTGATAACTGATAACTAGAATCGAAAAACAAATATTCAATTAACGAATATGATGAATGCAATTTCTATAGCTATTACGGTACCTTTCTGCCAATATTCGTAGTAAGTCTATAGACCTGAACATTTGCAATGTGAATTACAGAACTGAAAGTGATAACTTCAGGGGTATTTCAGATGAAAATCTTAATTTCAATTTGTGAGGTTTGTATATTAAATTTGTGGGTGACAGTTTATATTTATGATTTATTTTATGAAAGGAGTACTTGCGATGAGAAACAGGGGCGTACGTCGGTCTTCCCCAATCAAATTGGTAGGTCTCGTTGTGTTCATACTTGAATTAGGCCTATCTATTAAAAATTGTCGGGTTTGTTTTTCATACACGGCCTAGTGTAATTAACGGATAATTACTATGAATTCCTGTGCTACTAAAATAAGGCCTAGGAATGTAACACAGGCTTAACGTAAGTGTCATAAAAAAAAAAACACATGACTGATGTAGTCACATTCTCTTCAACTTCGGAATTATAGTCGAGCGCCCTCAAACAGCAGATAACATAGTTCCAAGTTTCTGATGGTACTGAAACCTCCTTGGATATTTATTTGCCAATCTTTCAAAAACATATTCTCCAGCAATTTCTACATAATAATAATAATAACAGGAAATAACAAATAATAATACTAACAAAATTATGCAATAAATATTAAATAATAAAATTAATAATAGGCCTATAATGATGATGGTAATATTAATAACGATAATGATAATAATGCATATAATAATATATAAATAGTATCATTATTATACATGGGTTGATTCATTTATGTATATACAAATATATTAATGGTATCATAAAAAAAAAAGTTCGAGTGCAATTGATGCTTCTCCTTGTTTGGAGGTTTTTTTTTAATAAATTGAATTGAAATTGAAAAAAAAAATAGAATAAATTGAATTTAAATAATTATAAACCATTAAGATTCAGACACATCGGATTTTTTTTTATGCAAGTAGTTCTTTTTCTCAGGGCAATCGTGGATCATTGAGGAGGCGATAACTAGCATCTATTTTCATACTGATGTATGGAAGAAGTATACAATTCAAGGTATCTTACAATAGACCTATATTTTTGGTCCAATGGTGTTTGAATAATGTTTTGAGGAATTTTTACTTCCTTCTTACCTGAAGAACATCACCGAAATTATGGGGTTTGAAAAAACAAAAACAAAAACCGTCGTGCTGCTGATATTCCGTGAGTGCATCTACTACAACATGTTTTAAAATAACCCATGAAATACGATGCGCCTGCGCATTTATTGTCTTGGAGACGAGGATCACGTGAGTAACTACTAACGGTGACAAATGAGTTAAAACTTGAATTATAAAACCTGCGGTGGTCAAACTCAGTTGAGAGGGAATCGCGTTCACAAACCGTGCACGAAGCAAAGTCAGAATCACGCGTGTTGCGAGTATAGCATATCGAAATTATCAAGGAACGTGTTATAAACAACCAGTGTCAATTTGTTCCGTGTTAAACCGAGTGTCATAACGCAGTATGATCTGTGAATGGACGTGGTATATCATGTTAAAGCTTTTTGGATAAATGAGTGAGCAGATAATTATTGCAACAACGGTTAGATGGAATAATATGAGCTGTTGTGTTTTGAACAAAGGTAGGTTAATGCGGGACTGCTACCAATTATGCGATGTAATGTGTATACACGGCAAGTAAGTATATAGCCGTTGTTTATCATCTTTATTATTATGGTTTTTCTAATAATCGTAGCCCATGGTTGCGCGACGGCGGTTCTATTTAATGCTCTTGAAGAATTTGTTGTCAAATTAAACTGTCGCGTTGAAAATAAACGGTGGAGAAACAAGCGTGGCTTCTGCTAATTTTCTAATTTCAGTCAATACTTACTCTTGAGATAGACCGGCTTACACGCGTTTCTAGATTGGTAATTATGTAGGGCTGAGTAACCTTAGAGTTAACACACTTGAAGAGAATTTGAAAATTGAGTTAGCTGTCGTACCTAATGTATTGCAAATCGCTCAAAATAATCGACATATTTATTATAAAAATTTCCCTTGAAAATTTGCACAAGCTAACAACCAGAGAAACCCACAAGCCCCAGTGTTCAAGATAGTAGCTATAGCTTGGTGAATAAGAAGCCATTTAAACCCAGGTAGTTGGGTCAAATCCTCCCAAAATCATTGTATTTTTTTTTTAAATAAAAGAGCCATAAGGCATTAGCTTATCAAACTGGAGTTGAAGGAAAAAAAGTTGATATAATGAAAAGGTTCCCAGCCATTATAATGAATAAACAAAAAAAAACATATTTGTTTTTGACGTAGAAATTTAAGAATGATCAGACCACAAACATGGGGGAAAGAGTTTTTGTATCTCTACCCGGCATCATCATCCTTATATTGATTCAGCCGTCTAGACATGCAGATTTTATAAACTTTATATACCGGTATCTCAATGTGCTGGTTAGGCTATTCATAAGTCTGTGGCGAAACATACTAGGCTATCTTAATTATCAATGTAGGGCATGTCGTTTACCCATCGTTTTCTGTCATTTTGTCTATGGCCTATTATATTGTTATTATATAGTCTATTATGTTATATTCACAATGCTAATCAGCAAACCTAATTTGAATATTGGCCTATATATATATATGTATATATTTATAGCCTATATACACGTTTAGCGTATTGAATATTAGACAATTCACTGAAGACAAAAGCATACGTTACGCTCCAGAAATATTCTTTATACCTAGTATATTGTAAGTCGAACAATTTGATTTGGCAATAAAACATTAGCTTTCCTTTTTCTTGATACCCGGCAGTTAAAATTGATTGATGAATTAACATCGAATTACAAGGTTTTCCGCAATAATAAACGCGTCATCTACTACTCAGATCAAAGCCTTCCGGATATAGGCCATGTAGTATCTGTGACAACAATGTTGAAAGCTATGGTCTGCAGCTCCTCCGTTCAGGTATTTATAGCCTGCAGTGTCCTACCCTAGCTATATAAATACGGTTGATTATTCCCCGAAATAATTCGGACTTTATTAGCGCGTTCTATGTTGACGTCAACGTCTTGGAAAAAAAGAGATACTGAACGACAGACCGAAGACAAGTGAAAATGGCTCCCATTCCAGGTGGGTGCTGGGGGGGGGGGGAGTGGGCACATTTAAGGCGGTATTTAATATTACGTCTTTTTTATCGAAAAGAAGTGTGATAGACTTTAAAGTGGGAGTATGTAGGTGAAATAGGTTTACCGTTGTACCGTATCATACGGTAACCTTTCGATTAAATGGTAGGGTTCAAAACGTCATCTTAATCGGTATACCCAACGTCCCTATGGTAGACCTAAGCACGAATCGGTATATGGTTCAACCAAAAATTTTTAGGAAACCAACGTATAGGCCTAAGCCTACCGACTTGTTGAATACACGTGTAAAGTAGTAAATGTGGCCTGGCGTTTTGATAAATTTGACTAATTTACCATAAGGCTTACATGGGTGTGATGTCATCATCATCATGTCATAGGGCAAATCACACAAACTTTGTCACATAAAACTTAATTAGATCTGCCCACTCTGAGTACAAACGTCATGTCATTAGCACTACTACTATACTTCACCATGATCGTACGCAGATTTTTTTCTTTTTGTTTGTTGCTTTAATTAGATACACGTGTATAATTACATCTTCTCATCGGTCTAACGCACACACGCGTGTCTGTATTGTCGATATATTGACCATTATTAAAGTACCAAAATCGTCATGTATTCTTACCCAAAAGGATTGCGTACCACAGCTTGTCTCTTTATATAAGTTGTAAATCTACCTTATTGAGCTGTAGAGCGAGTCGTGTTAACCCTTCACACTACAAACTATTTGCATACGGTTTGGTTGATTAAATTTATAGGCCTACATGTAATGAAACATTTTCCGACACATGATTAGACATTTAGATTAGTGGGGTTACAGTTTTTCTAGGCTAGGTTTACTATTAACATGGATGGAGTATAACTCCATGCTCTGAAAACGGCCCAGTTCAATGTTCAAGAATGATGGAGCAAGTCAAACCGTCAGGCCACGGAATTGTATTTATGTAGCTACAAACGGTACGGTTTGACTATAAAACGTTAAACTTTCCTCCTTTCAACAAATAAGTTTAAGAACATTCAATACACCTGGAGTGCTGTCACAAATTAATGTAGCTTGACGTACAGGTATTTTGTCGTGCGAAATACACTCTAAGGCGAGTTCACACTGAGGAAATTTAGACGCGTTTTGAAGCAAACAAAAACGCACAAAAACCCGTTACGCCTTCGCAAGTCACTTGAAATAATTAAACGCAAACGCATTAAAACGTTTACTGACGCATATGGACAGCTAAACGTTTATTGAAGAGGCAATGAGGAAATAGGACAATTTATACAGTCTAAAAAACCAATGAAATCAATAACCATTATACTACTTAGTTATGAAAATATCATACTGTATACATACTATCAATAAAAAAGTCAACATAATAAAATATAGTGAATGTAATAAGCAGAATAATATAAACCATTAAAGCCCCCGCCCACCTCCCACAACAACAATAGCAAATACTGCTAATATAATCATAAAAATGAGGTAAATCAGAAGCTATTTTTAAAGATGTAGTGTCTATAGTTTCAATAGATTATTTTTTTAGAAAAAGTGTCTAGAGTCTAGAGTTGGTACAGAAATACTAGTATTGCAACAAAATACTATATTAAGATTCAAAACAAGTGAGCGTAAAGCATTAAAATTCAATACGTGGGATAGTATTTTCCCTCGGGCAAAACGCCGTTCACAGTTAAAAACTCCTCTCTGCAAATGTTTCATAACTTTATATGCAGTGAAAAATGACAAAATTGTTCTATATACACGCTTTCACTATCGTTTTGTTCCATTTAAATGCATTTATGTTTTGTGTTTGATTTAGTACTGGCGTTTCAGTGTTCTGAAGCTAGAATGGAATTAACCTTCATCGCATAAATATTTTCCGAGACTTTAATGCTTGTCAAATGAGCATTTTTCACACTTTCATGTTCAAATGGGACTAGGTTTTGAATGTTGATAAATATAAAAATGAATGCGTGGTACAATTAAAGCACACCTGTTCTTTAGGAAACATGATAATTTATCACGTTAAAATTGATTCCATCTAAATGTATAACCAATTCCAAAGTACTCATTAGATCACAAACGGGATAATGATGACGATTTTGTTACATGGATGATCTATTTCAGTGATTCCAAATCAAATGAAAAAAAATGCATTAAGTGAAAGGAAATGTTACTATATAGCGTCCTCGTACGTGCCTTTATAGGGTAGAGTGGTAAAACGTTGGACATATTGTGATCAGCGGCACTTCTAATAAAATATTAAAATATATAAAGGCAAAAAAAAAGGCATCATTATCATCATTATCATCATCAATGTTTATAGCCCTATTTATATTATATAATAATATTGTTGTCATTATCGTTACCATCATTACACTATTATTATTATTAATATTAATATTATTATTATTATTACAGGTATTATTATTAGGCTTATTACAATTATAATTACGGTATTATATTATTATTATTATTATTACTATTATTTATGATTCATATTATTGTGATAACAATAATAATAATAGTGTAATAATGATAACGATAATGATAATAACAATATTATATAATATAAATATAAATTTGTATTATTATTATTATTACTATTATTATTCTTATTATTATTATTATTATTATTATTATTGTTATTATTAATGGTTAAACATACAATTAATACATAGACCTATCACTTACGCATTAATTATCTATGGCCATAATGATAACATTATTATATAATATAGATATAAATTTGTATTATTATTATTATTATTATTATTATTATTATTATTATTATTATTGGTTAAAAATACAATTGAATGCATAGACCTATTACTTACGCAGTAATTGTGTATGCGTTTACATATTAGCCAACAGATATGTGTTCAGTCATAGAGCTGATTTAACAGTGTATTAATATGACGCTAAATAATTTTACATTCTCATTACATAAGTCATGTGTGCAGTCACCATTATCCCTGTAGCATCAATGATCGAATCTCCCACAAACTACGTCATCTGGTATCCAGGCCTCAATGCCAAGGCCTACTTGTTTTGCAGCCTATATTGCATTAAGAGCCATCAGAAGCCCGGAAATCTCGCGCCAAATGTTTTTGTAATGTAGGCTACGTCACTCTTAATTTTGAATTGAAGTGATTTGATTTTCCAAAGTATGTTATCACGCCAAATTGGATGATTTCTCTTATTTACCCGGATACTATGGTACTGTATCAATCGGCTGTTTCTTTATACCGTCGTTTCTCCCAAATGCCGCGGATTTGAGCTCATTCATCACCGTATATATCCTTAAGGGTAGGAAGCAATTAACAATTTGTTTATATTTTTTTTTTCAATTGTCACTTGGAATGACATTCAATCTATTTTGCTAGGTAATTGAGAAGTTATCACGGTACAATTTATCTCGCAGTGTTTTCTCCTGTGCGGCAGCAGAAACGCTGATCGTTTTTGTCACGTGATGGGATCATTTATTATTTTCCTAAATGCTACAATATATTATAGCCGTTCGTGCGCCTGCCATCCTGTCACTATCTCT